GCCTTCTCTCGCTGTGGCACGGATCCAACGCCCGCCTCTCCTTCGCCAATCTCCCAGAACGCACCAGGGCTTATCACGAGCGCACCGGGAGACCATCACGCGCAGATACCACAAACATATTTCCCACGGGAGTTTGGGTAATGCTTTTTTGCATCTTCCCGACAGTTAAGAGGTAATATCGATGCGGAAATGGTACAAGTGCGAGTTGTTAAGGTGTTTGGTGCGATCACGAAAGGGTAAACTGAGATAGAGATGAGATATTCTAGATAAGGACGATTTAAAGGAGCAGTTTGTAACAGTTAGAGTTCAGATTTCATAAGCATGACCTAATTGCATTTCTAGATATGTTCAGTGTGTCTCTACATACGCAGATTTAGACAAGAACGCCACCCAAGGGACCTCCACCAGGATGCACCTCCACTGACATGTCCCTCACCATTTTTCATTAGTTTATAAACTTAAACTAAACTCCATACAACTGTACAACAACTCACCACTATAACAGATAACCTCCTTTTCCTTATGACCTCTTGTGTATAACTTAACTTTCAAAATCAAAAACTGGGACACTCCTGGTTTGGGTTGGTTGGTAAAAATAAAATTGTGAATTGAGTGTATAGTTAAGTGTTATGCACTCGGCCCATTAATGGAAAAAACGGATAATGAACGTTTAACATTTACGTGACTTAAACTACAATGTTGGACTAAACCAGGACTGAACCAGGACTAAACCAGTCTCAGTCCTGGTCTGGTCCCGGTCTCAGTCCTGGTCACGCGGCAGTCTACATAGGCGCACCTCCGAGCCCGTCCCAACACTCAGTCCTGTCTTAGTCCTGGTTCAGTCCTGATTCAGTCCTGATTTAAACCTGTTTTAGTCTTGTTTTAGTCTTGGTTTAGTCTTGGTTTAGACCTGGTTCAGTTCTGGTTCAGTCCCGTTTTAGTCCTGGTTTAGACCTGGTTAAGTCCTGGTTTAGACCCGTTTTAGTCCTGGTTTAGACCTGGTTCAGTCCTGGTTTATTCCTGTTTTAGTCCTGGTTTAGACCCGTTTTAGTCCTGGTTTAGACCTGGTTTAGTCCTGGTTTAGACCCGTTTTAGTCCTGGTTTAGACCTGGTTTAGACCCGTTTTAGTCCTGGTTTAGACCTGGTTCAGTCCTGGTTCAGTCCCGTTTTAGTCCTGGTTTAGACCTGGTTCAGTCCTGGTTTATTCCTGTTTTAGTCCTGGTTTAGACCCGTTTTAGTCCTGGTTTAGACCTGGTTCAGTCCTGGTTCAGTCCCGTTTTAGTCCTGGTTTAGACCTGGTTCAGTCCTGGTTCAGTCCCGTTTTAGTCCTGGTTTAGACCTGGTTCAGTCCTAGTTTAGACCTGGTTCAATCCTGCACAAAATTGAAAACTGAAAAAACAAATCATTATCTGTTTTTTTTTTTTTTTTCATTTTGGTTTTGGAGACAAATAATGAGGAAAACATTTTTTTGTTTGTTTTTTGTTTTTTTGTTTTCTTACTTTTGGTTTAATTTTGAAAAACGAATGAACAAATGATAGACGGATTCCATACATGTAATAAACGCGGGTTTTTTTTTTTTAGGTTTCTGATCAACTCCATGTTACTCTTGCATTTTGGCGAATGACCCTAACCCCGTTTTGCGATGTGGAAATGTTTTGGCCCAGGGAAATTTAATTGGAGACTCCTGGTTAAAACCCTGCCAACTCAGGCTCAGTTGTGAATGTTACACCTTTTTGAAAACCGTAAGACAGCAGACTACAGTTCCACTAAAAATCCTATACTATTTATTAAAGATACACTATGTAACTTTCCCAGTGGATAATGTGCCCACCTGCCTGTACCTGTCTATACTGAGATGTTATTGCTTTGCCTGGAATGTTCCGCAGTATGACATTTAACTTCTCTGCATTTATTCAATTACATGTGTTGCTTAAAAGGCCTTAAAACGAGCAGGGTTGCCTCACCACAGATCTGACCTGTAACTTGACCTGCCTCTCTCCGTTGACATGTAATTACAGATGCAGAAACAAAAAGCGAGGGGCGCCTCTCTGAAAACCTGTAACTCTGCCCGGTGCCATCCTCTGCTCATTTAATGCCACGCTGCGGAACATTCCAGGCAACAGGCGGCACAGACCTTCCACCAGAAATCCTACTTTTACGAAACTAATTGTCCTGATTCTTCTGGTCTTTTGTGCGTATTACTTACAAACTGCCAGCAGAGGGCGCAAGGTTTCCAGCTGTGGTTAAAGGGTTCATATTAGGCTCTATAGATGCATCAAGAATCACGGACTTCCGGTCATTGAGAAGGATTTTCTGAAAAAGTGAGCATCAAACCTCCATGTTTGTTTTCCCAGTGGGATTGACATAGCCAGTCTTTTCTAGTCTTTTGAACCATATCACTTTTGTTTCTGGTTCTGATATTGTCATATTTTAGTTTTGGGATTCGGACATTGTAATTGTGTGGTTATTGGAGCCTAACAGCGGAAAACTGCTTGAGAAATTTGTTTGCGAACTCTATAAATGCAAAAGTGAATCAGATGTGTGTGACTGCAAACCTCTGTTCAAACTGTTTCTCTTCCCAACGGAATTGCAAAATAGTGAAAGGTGAAGGTGACGGGCAGGGTTGATCCACAGGAAGAACCAAAAAGGAAACCTTTGACTGACTAAATCATCTCGAGTTTGCAGTGAAATTTTGTATATGGAGCGAATCAAAGCAAAATCCCGATCCCTCGCTCAACCTCGGTTATGAATTTAAAAAGTCACGTGAAAGGCACCAACTGTTCACCAAGAAACAACTTCCACTGTACAGAGACCAAGACGTGATGTTGCTGTAAAACCACAAGAACAAGAAAGTGCAGCTCAGTCTGTTTGTCTTCTGTACCTCTCACTGGATCCTGCTTTGTCGTCGCTCCACATACAACATGTTCACTGCAAACTCAGGATGATTTAGGGAGTCAAAGGTTTCCTTTTTGGTTCTTCCTGTGGATCAATCCTGCCCGTCACCTTCACTTTTCACTATTTTTCAATTCCATTGAGAAGAGAAACAGTTTGAACAGAGGTTTGCAGTCACACACATCTGATTCACTTTTGCATTTATAGAGTTCGCAAACAAATTTCTCAAGCAGTTTTCCACTGTTAGGATCCAATAACCACACAATTACAATGTCCGAATCCCAAAACTGAAATATGACAATATCAGAACCAGAAACAAAAGTGATATGGTTCAAAAGACTAGAAAAGATCGACTTTGTCAATAGACGCATCCCACTGGGAAAACAAACATGGGGGTTTCCTTCCCAGTATGCATTGCGGAATGACGAGAAGTCCGAGATTCTTAATGCATCTATTTCTGATGTTCTTAAGTAGTTTCTTCATCACAAACAGACCTGGAGTTGTGCTTTGTTTCATTCACACATGTTTAAGACACAAAACCTGCACATTTAGGCTGAGCTCTTCTCTGAAACTAAACAAAACACAACTTCAGGTCTGTTTTTTTTACAGGGTGACATCATTATAACATGTCTTGGAGTTATTTTTGTGTCATACACGACCTTCAAACATCTTACTCTGTACTCTGTGTGGTACAACAGTTATTATCCTGCTTTAAAAATAACATTTATCTTGTTTGACCCATAACACAAAAACGCTGACCAGTGCTGACTCGTGCTGGCTCAGAGTCATTATCTGATTTCTAGACTTTAAAGGTGCACTGTGTAACTTCTCTGGTGGAGGGTGTTCCTATGGTAATGTCATTGATCTGTCTGAAATGTTCCACAGTGTGACATTAAACAGATCTACTTTACATTTATTCAATCACAGGTGGTTTTATATCTAGTATAAAAAATACCTAGAAAAGCATACATTTTGACTGAGCATGGTCGCCTCTCCACAGATCTGACCTGTAACTTGGTCCGGTTTGGTCTCCATGAAGACAGAAAGGTTTAAAGCCATACTGTGAAACATTCCAGACAAAGCAATGCTATCTCTATGGAGAAACGCATTTGACGGACCCTTCACCACAAAAGTTACACAGTGATTTAAAGGTTGTTTAGAGGATTTTCCAAGGAAAGAGAAATATGCGACTGTTTGTCCTTTTTCGCTCCTCCCCTCTACAGCTTCCTAAGTAGAAACACCTCCTCCCGCTTCCTCCTTACGCTAGAAATCATGCTTGTTTACAGCCTCTGCACGTTCAGAATCACTGAAGGGTTTGTTGTTGAAGTTTCCTGTCCAGAAGTCATTTAACGACCAAAATGTCAGTCTTTAGACCCTTCGTCCGCTTCGTCGTGCCATCGCTGGAAGGAATCTCCAAGTCAAACTAAATCACTTTAGTTTGGCTTTGCTTCTTTTCCCCCTCTCTTTTGAGGCTGCTGAAAGTGACAGACTATTCGCAGCATCGTGCTTGTGCATTCTTGTCTGCCATTACAACAAACTTTTATGCAAACTGTGAGGAAGCTAGAGTTGGAAAAAGCTGCTCAGCCCCGCATAAGAGGCGAATGTAAACCACGTAATCCCAGTGCACCGGCGACTCAGTTACACTAGAAACGTAGAGAGTTTGATAGACAACCTAACAGCCACTAGATAATGAGGTAGCCTCATTTTCTATTGACTGAGGTTTATCTGGCCTCACCACGTCCACAGTTGATGGATTTTCATTCTTTTTTTTTTTTTTTTTGGGGGGGGGGGTCATCATAATTACAAGGCTGCTGCTCCTCTATAATGCTATTTTGAACTGTGAAACTAAAAAAAATAAAATAAAATCCTCCATACAACCTTTAAATGGCATGCAAACCACAACATTCTGAGAGAGGAAGTAATCAGCATATTTTTAAGACACTGTAGTCCTGCTTTAGTCCTTGTGTAGTTCCTGTTTACACCCAGTTCAGTCCCAGTTTAGTCCCAGTTCAGACTCGGTTCAGTCCTGGTTCAGTCCTGGTTCAGTCCTGGTTCAGTCCCGGTGTAGTCCCGGTGTAGTCCCGGTTCAGTCCTGGTGGTGTGTGTACCTTGATGCCGTATCTCTCCCGGACAGACGCCCTCATGGCCAGGGAGGCGGGGGGGACACAGCCCAGACAGTCGAGCAGCGGCAGACAGGGACACACCCCCAGAGCACGTGTCACCCTGCAGGTGAACACCGGGAGGCAGCACAGAGCACAGCAACCTGCACACACACACACAGACAGCGGACAAAACGGACAATATACTGCATTAAAGGAGACGTAGTATGCAAAGTACAGGCTCGGAACACAAATACATAAATACATAAGCAAATAAAGAGCATGTAGTCCTGGTGTACATTCTGGTTTTAGTTCCTTTTACTCGCAGTGTCCTGTCAATTTGAGCACACGACCCCCAAGCGCTGTTCCAGTTTAAATGCTGTCAATTTGAGCTCCCAAGGCAGAACATTTTAAAAGTGTATTGGTTTTATTGTATATTTGGACCAGTTAAACATGTAAGCAACAACGTGTGTGTTAGATTTAGTTAGAATAGTTTGGATTTAATATTTGATTTCATCATTCTCATTTTCATTCTGTCACATTTTATTTTGTTTCCATGTGTAGAAAACATTGTAACTTTGTTTAGAAAGGCATCGCATAAATAAAATATCACAATATTATAATAAGAAATTCACACTGTAGCCTATGATATTAATTTCTATCTCTTCTACAGTGGGAGTTTTATTTGATAGAAGATATCGGCCTGTCGAAATGAGCTCCTCTGCCCAAATTCATCTAAATGAGTGAATAATGGTGATTCTACAGTGGGATGCATGTATCGGATGCATACATTGTCCTGTGGATATGTGCTCCTTTAGTCATAGCCCTATTTGAGCAGAATACGACGCAGATTCAGATAAATGAGTTGAAGTTGTATTTAACTAAGGTATAAAGTGTGATCACCGTGTGCAAACAGCATCAAACCTGTGTCTCTTATCCAAAGAAATATGTTGTAGAACTAGGGAGGTCAGGGTTAGGAATTATTGGATCTATACAGCTATAAACAGAAAAACATAAGGTCGCTTATTTCAACGGGGCAGTGTGAATCGATAGACGTCACTGTTAATTTACACTGTGGGAGTTCATTTTGACAGAACACCGGTTTAGTCCTGGTTTAGCCCTGGTTTAGTCCTAGTTTAGTCCTAGTTTAGTCTTGTTTTAACCCTGGTTTGGTCCTGGTTTAGTCCTGGTTTAGCCCTGGTTTAGTCCTGGTTTAGTCCTGGTTTAGTCCTGGTTTAGTCCTGGTTTAGTCCTGGTTTAGTCCTGGTTTAGTCCTGGTTTAGCCCTGGTTTAGTCCTGGTTTAGTCCTGGTTTAGTCCTGGTTTAGTCTTGTTTTAACCCTGGTTTAGTCCTGGTTTAGTCCTGGTTTAGTCCTGGTTTAGTCCTGGTTTAGTCCTGGTTTAGATCTGGTTTAGTCCTGATTTAGACCTGGTTTAGTCCTGGTTTAGTCCTGGTTTAGCCCTGGTTTAGTCCTGGTTTAGATCTGGTTTAGTCCTGATTTAGACCTGGTTTTAGACCTGGTTTAGTCCTGGTTTAGTCCTGGTTTAGCCCTGGTTTGGTCCTGGTTTAGTCCTGATTTAGACCTGGTTTAGTCCTGGTTTAGTCCTGGTTTAGCCCTGGTTTAGTCCTGGTTTAGTCCTGGTTTAGTCCTAGTTTAGTCCTGGTTTAGTCTTGTTTTAACCCTGGTTTAGCCCTGGTTTAGTCCTGGTTTAGATCTGGTTTAGTCCTGATTTAGACCTGGTTTAGTCCTGGTTTAGTCCTGGTTTAGCCTGGTTTAGTCCTGGTTTAGATCTGGTTTAGTCCTGATTTAGACCTGGTTTTAGTCCTGGTTTAGTCCTGGTTTAGCCCTGGTTTAGTCCTGGTTTAGATCTGGTTTAGTCCTGATTTAGACCTGGTTTAGTCCTGGTTTAGTCCTGGTTTAGTCCTGGTTTAGCCATGGTTTAGTCCTGGTTTAGATCTGGTTTAGTCCTGATTTAGACCTGGTTTTAGTCCTGGTTTAGTCCTGGTTTAGCCCTGGTTTAGTCCTGGTTTAGATCTGGTTTAGTCCTGATTTAGACCTGGTTTAGACCTGGTTTAGTCCTGGTTTAGTCCTGGTTTAGTCCTGGTTTTAGTCTTGGTTTTAACCCTGGTTTAGTCCTGGTTTAGCCCTGGTTTAGATCTGGTTTTAGTCCTGTTTAGACCTGGTTTAGTTTTCCTGATTTAGACCTGGTTTAGACCTGGTTTTAGACCTGGTTTAGTGTCCGGCAATGAGTGGAATTACGGAAAAAAAATAAAAAAAATATGGGGATAAAGCCCAAAATGTAAAAACAGGAAAATACGGCTGTGTAATCCATTTACTTTGTTGAAATAACTGTAATCCAATTACCATTCACTGAAACAGTAACTGTAACTGAATACAGTTACTCATAATTTGTACTCTGATTACGTAACTCTGGTACATGTAATCTGTTACTCCCCAACACTGTCTACATGTGGCATAAATAATAACTAAATAAAATGCTTTAAACTTTGAATGTGTGACTCACAGTCGCCCATGTCCTTGTAACATTCACACAGGCCCGTGCTCCACTCTCCAGACTCCTGCACCCTGCTCACCGGCTGCACCTGCACCACCCGACTCGACATCATGGAGCTGTTCATTCAAAAGAAATATGCTTTAAAAAAAAAATAAAATAATCTCCATCAAATCAAATTAAACTTTATTTATAAAGCACTTTTCATACAAAATGGAACATAAAGTACTTTACAGTGATTAAAAACTCCATCCATCCACCCACACAACCAAACAACCCAGACACACACACACACTCACATACGCACACAAGCAGGTGGGGGACCCTTTACCAGAGAAGTTACATAATCAATCTTTAACAATATAGATACAAATTCCACAATCAAAGGTTAACCCAAACTTAGAATTCCCGAAGACACTAGTTAATGTTTGGCCATGCAGCAAAACCCAAACATCATCTCAAAGTGTTTCAGTGTTTTCACTTTCACAGTCTGACTTTTGCTTTCACCAGCATCCTAAAAACAACTAGCATGTGAACGCACACTCCCTGATTCTCAGACAAGGACTTATTTTGACCTCAAGAGCTGCTTATACAATATATCTTTACCGGGGCAAGACAGGTTTTGCTGAAATACTTGGTAAACATGGATACAGCTCCTTTCTAACTGAAAAAAGTCTCCTAAAATCTGATTTTTTTCAGTTAGTTGTAGTTTGATCTTCTACTTTAGGTTTAGTCCTGGTTCATGGTTAATGGAGGGCCCATACTGAACTATTGTTTGAATCTTTAGAACGTTTAATTTTTTTTAATTTTTAGAATCATTTGGGTAATTTAACAAAAAATCTCTATGGAACAAAAGGTAAAAGACGCTGTTCACTTGAAAACTACTGCTTCATGACATCACAAGTTGGAACAGAGCATTTTGAGCTTGTGCGTGTGGCTGAGTGGTTAGAACTCATGCCTCACAGCAAGACGGTTCTGGGTTCAATCCCTGGGTCGTCCGGGCCTTTCTGTGTGGAGTTTGCGTGTTTCTCCCCGTGTCTTGTTGGGTTTCTGCCGGTTTCCCCCATCAACCCAAAACATGTTCCCAGTCTCCAGGAAGAACAGTTGATAGCCAAGGTCAGATAAATACAATCAATCAATGAACCTGTCCAGAGACGACAGTACTGATGCTACAACCTGATGTACAAACATCTCTCCTGTTAACGTTAATGTAAAAATTGTCCCTGTCTCAAATAAATAAATAAATACTGTAGAGATATAAACAGACTAAAGGTTACTCCAATATGTGTGAATGAAACAAACTCAACTCTGGGTCTTTAAGCATGAATTAAAGTTCACTAAAGTCCATTTTGTGCAATATAGGAGTAAGATTTAGTCCTGGTTTGGTCTTGTTTAGTCCAGGTTTAGTCGTTCTGTTTAGTCCTCCTGGTTAGGTTTGGTTTAGTTCATGGTTTAGTCCATTTTAGTTCTGGTTTATTTCACCCTAATCTTGGTTTTGTAGTCGTTATTGGTTTATTCCTGGTTTGGACAAGCAGGTGGTGGACCCTTCACCAGAAACATTACATAATACCTTTAAGAATTTAGATTAAGGCGAGACACTGCAGGTGAATAGGGAAAAAACTAAACAAAACAAAACAATAAAAAAACACAAAAAAACTTAAATCAATTTGAAACTTCATCTGTAGTTTACTCAGATAAATTTAAGAAAAACATGTTGATCCAAGTTTTTCATCATGTTATATGTTTATGTAAAACTGCCAGTATTGACCATTTTTGGGACATTCAAAACAGAAACATGAAAAGAAGCAGGTTTTAATATCCTTGCTTCTTTTTTGTTGACATATTAGACACAATAATATACAAAGGAGATTTTGGATATCTATTTAATATTTGAGTAAACTAGATCTGACTGAAAATGTGCCTAAAAATTCAAATTTCGCATCATTTTTTTAAATTTAAAACATAATAAATATAAAACAGACTTGGAATTAGATATCAAAAAATCCTTCTGTACATTTTGTCAAAATCTTGATAAGGCAAGAGTGTTGGTGCTGCTTTAAGTTCTGATCTTTATGTCCCTGTGGGGGTCTTTGAATTTACAATGTCCCATATTAACTCTATGGAGGCAGGTTGATTCAGTTAAATATTAAAACATCTTTCGGTGCAGTTTTGGAGTTTCCACATGTTTGTACACTAAGAGACCAAACTGACCAAAAAAGAAAACAAAACTGTAGTTGAAGGTTAATCAAAACTTAACTGAGACTTTCCAGAACTAGTTAAAGTTTAGCCCTGCACCAAAACCGAAACAGCACTTCCGAGAAACGATCACGTATTACTGTAATGATTAAAAACTCTTACCTGGAGGGAAGAATGAGTCTTGTGGAACTAGAATGACTCCCTTAGTTTTGGAAGCTTGAAAGTTCTCTTGTGCTCGGGCAGTGGTGTTTTGGTGTAAACACGACAGAGGACCTGCTAGAATCCGGTATGATGAGTTTA